GATATAGTATGGATCACTTAAGTTAAAATTTTCTCAGGGCTGTGTTAAAATATTAAAAAGAAACAGATGAAATTAATTTAATGATTTATTTAATTAAATTTAATTTAGATTATCATTTCAACATATAATTAGTAAGAAAAGTATTTAGATATTTTACATTCATTTTAAGTGCGCCTTTTAAAAGTATTTTATACTTTTACACTGAACAGTGGATCTCAGTTCAGACACTAAATTTTCATTGGCAATACTTAATGTATTTCATAAAACTTGTAGTTGGAAAAGCGATTTTACACTCAGGATTTTAGTTGTTTTTTTTTTCCTTTTTTGGTACCGGGGGTTGAACTTGGGACCTTGTGCTTGCCAGGCAGGTGGCAGAACCACTGAGCTAAATCCCCAGGCCCACTCAAGTTATTTTAAACATACTTGTAGGTTTTTCAGTAACTAAGTTCAGTGTCACTTTAAAATTAGAATTAAATGGATTTAGTTACCTATTGCCCATGTTTCAGTTACTCCATAGCCATGTGTGGCTCCTGGCCACCAGCTAGCAGCTCCCAGCAGAGGCCTGGTTGTAGGACTTGTCCAGGCATCCTGGGGAAAGCAGTTGTAGACGATACCGTCTTCTGCAGGCACATCCTTGACATGATGTTTCAGAGTGGGGTCCTGGCAGTCTCCTAATGGTAAATGTGAGTTGTGATCTTTTGCTTATGGCAGGATCCTTTATTGTTTACTTGAAAGCACTTAAAAATATACTCTTTCCTAACAACAGATAAACTGTTCTTATTTTTTCTGCAATGTTTGAAATGTTAACATCTTGCCTCATTGATAGTTTGTGGCTCAGAATATATATGCTGTACCCTAATATTAAATTGAAGTTTTAATTTTTTTCTGGTTTTGTTTTAACGGTGGCTAAGTTTCACATTTATTAAAGGTAGGGGAAAAAAAACCCAGAGGGGTAGGGGAAAAATGGGCTCTGCAGAGCAAATTTGGGCCAAGTAAAAAGAAAGGAAAAAATAAAAATACACCCTACAGCATAGATTGGGCTACTGTGAAGAGGCATGATAGCCCTGAAGTTTTGTTTTGTTTTGTTTGGTACTGGGGATCGAACTCCAGTCCTTGTGCTTGCGTAGCAGGCGGTGAAACCACTGAGCTAAATCCCTGCCCCAAAGTTTTTTATTAAAGCAGCTTTTTGTTTTTGTTTTTTTGGGTACCAGGGATCGAACTCAAGTCATTGCACTTGCACAGCAGGCAGCGAAACCACTGAGCTAAATCCCCAGCCATGAAGTTTTAATATTTAAAATTGAATTTAAGGCAAATTATACTAAGCAAAATAGGATAACATTAAAACATTATGCAAAGAGCCAAAAATCAAACCTAGATATAACTCGCACATGGTAGTACATGTTTGTAATCCCAGCTACTTGGTAGGCTGAGGCAGGAGAATCATAAGTTAGAGGCCATCCTGGCAACTTAGTGAGACCTTGGCTCAAAGTAAAAAATTAGGGGCCGGGGATTTAGCTCAGTGGTGCCGCTGACTGCCTCGAAAGCACAAGGTCCTGAGTTCAATCACCGGTACCAGAAAAAAAAAATTTTAAAGGGACTGATGGTGTAGCTCATTGGCAGAGTACTTGCCTAGCATGTACAGGTTCCTGGGTTTGATCCCCCAGCACACCATGCAGGCATGCATGAATGAATGACTGAATGAATGAATAAATATCATGTGGGAAGATAGTCTGAGACTATTCACATATTTCCTCACGCTGTTTCCCACTAATTTTTATTTCCATTGGTGCATCTTGCCTACAGTAATTACTGTGGTATTTAAGTGGTGATTTTGTTTCCCTTGTTCTTTCTTCATTGTTAATGGAATTTTTCTATAAAAAAGAGCTGACTCTTCATACTAATATCATTGTGGAATGAGATATTTATTTTATCCTGTCACTATCAGTTAATTTTTGTTTTGCTTCAGTGGGTCCAGTTTTGGCCCTTAGGAGCATCTTGGGTTTGTTCCTGTGTCCTTTGGACAGGCCCCTTTTGTAAATACTTCTTTACTTTTGATGCGGCAGAGTATTTTAGGCTTGGGCTGGGGATTTAGCTCAGAGGTTCCACCGCCTGCTTTGCAAGAGCAAGGTCCTGAGTTTGATACCCGGTACCAAAAAAAAAAGTATTTCAGACTTATACTTTTCTTGTCCCAGCTCTGGAATCCTCTATGAGCCCAGTTCCTTTTATTGGAAAATGCTATTTGGAAACCAAGATCTGGGTGCTGTGTGTGCTCTTTAGGATCGAATGTCATTATTTCAAGGTCTCATTGAAAGATAGAAGTAGGAAATACATGTATCTATACCTATGCAGATGTATATGTATTTCTATATCACATGCACACGTGTATATTAAAAGCTGTAAGTTCTCTGGTTCCAGACTAACACCACAGGGTTTATTTTAGTCTTCCCTTATTATATAACTTCTGCTCCAATAATGAGAATCTCGGTTCTCATTGTCTATTTTACTTACAAAGAAATAAAAAGCTAGTAATTTTAGAATTGCTGAGTTCTACCCTCGTGAGAAACCCATTTAGTGACAAGGCTTATGGCATTTGTGCACAGTTCTCTGCCCTCCGGTAGCACCCACTCAAGACAATGCATTCCAGTTTGTTAGGCTGCTTCTCTCTCCACCCCCTTCAGTGCAGTTGGTGTGAGTCATTTGCCGGACAGTGGGTCTGCTTGTTAGTATATTCTGCATCCGGGCTCCACACATTTCTTTGGTTGTGAAATAAGTGAAGGATATATGGGGCACTACTGAGGCTCTAAGAATCAGATACAGAACTCTGCTGGGGACACACCAGCCTCCTTAGCCCTGCCTCACCCTCCCCGTAAGCAATCTGTCTTTAATTTTTGGCTTACTCTTCCTGTGTCTTTTGTTTTGTGTCATTTTAAACTCAACAGGTTTATATTAAAGCTTGTCCACCATGAGAGAAGGAGCATATTCACTTGACCTTGTCCTCATCAGGTGCTCCTTATGTGGGGGAAGGAGGGCAGCAGTGGATGGAACTAGAAGTTGTATGTGTCTAACACGTCAGTGTTTTTATGCTTTAGCTACTTGCTTATAACTTGGTAGCATTTAAAGTTTAATTGATTTTATTTAACATGTGCTAATAAAGCAGAAAAGGCATAGGAAAGAATGTACATTTTCCTGCACTATCTTATCTAGCCTTCTTTAATACTACATATGTTATAATCACACAAATATTACAGTTTTCTGAACTGTGAAAAAAAGAAAACTTTACATATACAAATAAAGTCCTCTTTGATCTCTGTCCCTCAACATCTTGCCAATTTTATTACCCTTTCAGGTGTTAAAAATATTTAATAATTTATTTTTGGTTTTTTTGGGTTTTTGGAGACAGGCTCTCACTGTGTAGTTTAGCTTGAACTCACTGTGTAGCACAGGTTGGCCTCGAACTCGTGGCGATACTCCTGCCTCAGCCTCCTGAGTGCTGGCATTACAGGTGTCCACCACTGCATCACACTTTAGTTTTTTGAGACGGGGCCTTGTTTTGCAGCCCAGGCTGACCTCAAATTCTATCCTCCTGCCTCAGCCTTAGCCGCCCCAGTACTGCGTTTACAGGTATGGACCACCGTGTCCAGCCAGTTTCTTTCTGCAGGCATGTGCCACTGTATGCTCCAAGATATTTTTTTTTTGGCACTGGAGATCAAATTCAGGACCTTGCACTTACAAGGCAGGCGGTGGAACCACTGAGCTAAATCCCCAGTCCCAAGATTCTTTACATGTTTCTAAACATATGTACCTATAGGGAAAAAAAATATTTTTACAAGTCTGAATTATTTTTTCCAGAATAAAAGGTATGCTTTATCTTCCTCACTTGCTTTTTCTCACTTATCTTGATGGCCTGTTCCTACTGTACAGATAGCCCTGCTTCATCATTGGGACATCTGCAGAGTATCTGTTGGCCAGTGTCCTTGCCCTTGACTCTTGAGTGCACAGATGTGGGTTTGTTGGCTGTGTCACTGCTTTTCTGCAGGCAGTCCACAAACTTCGTTCCCAAGTAGTTAATGCCTTTTACCTTTTCTGATGACCCTGTGTTGGAGTACTCATTGCTTCATTAGTCAGCGATTCTTGCTGTTTTCTATGTCTTAAATTCTGGGCAATTTGAAAGTCAAAAGTGATATTTTGTTTTTATTTGCTTTCCTCTGAGATAGTGAGGTTGAATTTATTTCCATGTGATTATTAGTCATGTACATTTCCTTTACTGTGGTTTGCCCATTTTAACCATTTTATTTTTCTTATGATTTGTATGCATTCTTTGTATGTGGTAGATTTGTTTATTTAACAAATACTTATTGGTCTCTTATTATAAGCTCCTGGCTTTGCTGTAGGTACTGGGGTACCAGCAATAAACAAAGCCTCTAATTTCACATTCTGAAGAGGAAGTTGCACCAAGGAAAATTAAATAAATAAGATTATGTATATATGCATACATGCTATAAAAAATAGGGTAGTGGTGAAAAACATATTTCCCTGTGCCCCCACCACCACCCTCCACCGTCTGGGCTTTTGCTGTTAGGCAGGTGGACAGGGAAGCCTTAGAGAAGACAGAGCTGGGCGGTGATGAGGAGCTGGCCATGAGAAGTGTCCAGACAAGGGAGCACAGTATGTGCCTTGGCCAGAGGTGGTGCTAGTGAGCAAGGGGGGGGGACAGACAGGTCAGACTGTCACAGAGCGAGATGAGATGCTGGACTCCTAAGTGTGAGGGATTGTGAGAGCCGTGTTCCTCTCAGGAGTAGACTTGTTACTCTCGGGAGAGCTTGAAGGGCTGAGGTCTGCAGTAGGAGGAGAGTTTCTGTAGCTCCTCCTTCCCTGTCTGGGCTAGGTTATCATATAGCGGCTTGATCTAGGGGATTTATGCATCAGGACTGGATCATTGGGTTTGTGGTTATTTCAAGGCATAGGCCTTTTCTTTAATAAAGGAAAATTTTCTGTTTCAGATTACCTAGGAACAGTACGATTTGGGGTTATCACAAATAAACATCTTGCGAAACTGGTTTCCTTAGTACACTCTGGAAGTGTGTATTTACATAGACATTTCAACACATCACTTGTAAGTATTTTGAAATCGCGTTTGTAATAGTGCAGTGGTTCTTAACCTTTTGTAGGTCATAGACTCCTTTGAGTACTGGATAAAATCCGGACACTGTCTCTAGGAAATGCACATGATTTTGCCTCTACACAAGCCCACCCTAAAGTCCATGCCCCTGGTTAAGAGTCTGTGTGTTAGAGGGCTCTGGACTGTAACATCTAGGCATTCTTTGTGTATATCTTAGATTTTGGTACAGCCTTGTTAGTTTGCCTTCTTGGATGAAACTGCAGTTACTCTGTTGGAGAATTGTTACTCTGGGCCTCTGTTCTCAGAGACTAAGCTTCCACTGGGTGATGTCTTTTGTTCATTTGTTCCTTTGATGAAGAGTAGTAATGTGACATGCTTTTCTCCTTAGCGGATGTAATGGAGTTTTGAAGTTCTTATCAAGCCACAATGAGAAGTTAATGGCTTCTTACCCCGGAGATCCTCCGTGCAGACATCTCCTTTGTTCCTCGATTTCATTTGCTTTTTTGGTGGGACAACTCCACTCAGCTATTTCTGAGCTTTGACCTATGTCTTGCATAGTCTTGTGCTTTTCCTCTGTTGATGACTGCTTCCTCAGTCATATCACTGAGGGTTTATTTTCTGAAGTGTTTTCTGTCACCTTAGCATTGTCAGTGTCAATGGCTTACAGGTGATATGAAGATTGATGTCCTGGCTTCTTTAAACCTAGGCTCCCCTGGGTCAGCGTGTAGGTCACGTCCCTTTGGAGGTGCCACTGGGGTGCTGCTTGCTTGCCATGACCCTAACTTTTGTTTATCTCTTGGAGTCCAGATGTTGAGCTTTACTCCTTGCAGTTTATATTCCAGAGTCAAATGTATTTTTTTATGTTTTTCAAATAGAAATGTTTGTGATGGTGTTTGAATGTGTGTGTTCACACTCCTATCATCCCACTTTGAGCATCACTGCTGTGATTGTTTCCCTGCCACCCACTCACTCTCCTCGTGCTTGTCTAAGCTTCTTTTGGCTTCATCTGCTTTTGCTAGCTATCATTTTCCTACTTTCTTCATTTATAGCCTACATATTAATACCATATTTATTTATAGAAGAGGGTATTGAGGAAGAAATTTTAAGTGGACAGAGAAAAATGGTAGAATTATGAGGTGACAGGGAAAAATACATTGAGTTTACTGCTTCAGTTGAGTAGTATTTCAAAGTGATTGGTTTAGCAGTGGACTTCCTTTTACCAAAGGAAATATTGAGATAGCTGTATTTACGAAAACAAAAACAGTAGCCAGATATGGTAACACATGCCTGTAATTCCAACAATCAGGAGGCTGAGGCAGGCTAATTGCCATGAGTTCGAGGCCACCCTAGGCTACATGGTTCAAGGCCAGCCTGAATGACATAGTGAGACCCTGTCTCTCTCTTTTTTATTTTTTTCTGCTACCGGGGACCGAACTCAGGACCTTGCACTTTTGAGGCAGGCAGCAGCACTACTGAGCCAAATCCCTGGCTCAAAATTTAAAAAAAGAAAAGCAGGCGAGCATCTTCATTATGGGGTAATTTAAATCTCCATTTTGGAGGGTATCACATATTTCCATCTCTATGGAAATTGTTTGAAACAAGTGATTTATATTATTAGATTTTTAAAAATAATTTTATGTTCACCTACATTGAAAAACTTAGTTTATTTTCCTTTCATCCAACACAGAAACTGTGATCCTTGTGCAGACTTTGGTCATTCACTGATTCATTCACACATCTGTTGAATCCCTGTTCTGCGCCAAGGTTTCATCCAGTCACTGGAGATACCTGTGAGCGAGGCAGCTGCAGCTCCTGCCTCAAGGAGGCTGCATTTGTGGGCAGGGTTTGGGGGACCAAAGAAACCCAACCAATCCTTGACTGCATAATTCCTGTTCTTGTAGATGGGCTTTGGTCTTTTTATAAACACCTAGTGGTATTTCACAGCTCTCCTGGGACATGGTGATAGCAGGTGTTATGGCCACAGGAGACAGGGAAAGCTATTTGTGTGTAGGTGAGTCCATCTGAAAGAAAGAAGCTGATCTGAAAAGTCACTTCCTGCACCCACTGTTGCTTTTTGACCACTAGTGAGGAAAGGCTGTCTGGAGAAGTGGGCAGAGCACGGGCAGTTGTGGTGACTTCTGGGCTCCTTTTGCTGTCTGCAGTGTGGGCTGACTGCCCTGGAGGGCAGTGGTGAGTGCTTTGGTCCTGTCCTGGCACGCTCAGCTTTCCTTTATCTGTGTGTTGGTCCTTTGCAGGTCTTTCCCAAGGAGGTCATGAACTTCACAGCTGAGAACATCTACAAGTGGGCTTCAGAAAACCGAGAGATGCTCTTGCAGTGGCTGCAGCCCCATGGAGGCAAGAGTCTCCTGCTGAATAACGAGCTGAAGAAGGGACCAGCGCTCTTCCTGTTCATACCATTCAACCCTTTAGCCGAGAGGCATCCCTTAATAGATGAGGTCAGAGTCACAGTGGTCACCGTGCTAACTAGCTCGGACTTCTCTCTCCACACTCAAGGCTGTTAATCTAGCAGCCAAGTGGTTGACAGGAAAGGCAGCTGCAGTCAGTGGTATTGTTCTTTCCTCCTGTAAGTGGACAGGAGAGCCATGCCTAGGAGAGGGACTGCCCAGGCCTCTCTAGCCATATTTAGTGACAGTTGCTTGGGTCTGAGGTCAGTAGGAGAGATGGGAAGTCAAACCATTCCTCTCCAGAGAAAGACCAAATGTCTCTTCCTGAGGCCATTCACATTGAGCTTCCCATTTGGGGAGTGGCGGGAACACACAGACAGGGTTGGCATGGACTAGGAGATGACACTGTCATGGGGGTGGCCGGTGTCATCCTCAGGACCGCAGAAAAATGTGCAGCCCAGCAGCCAGGTGCCGCAGCAGGTGTCGGGACACCTTGTTTTTCTTAAACTTTCTTGTTGCACAGATGACCAGAGTGGTTTTCGGAGAGAACTGTCACCTCTTCCTGCTTTTCCTGCTTTCTGGGGACTTGCTCTCTCTATGTGAGTTTAGTTTATACCTGGATCATTTGGAGGCACTTAGAGCAGTAATGATCAGCAGACAAAGCCTGGGATTGCTAAAATGGATTTAGAGGGTTTTCTGTTTTTCTTTCCCTCAAGGATCCCTTAATTGACCAAAGCCAGTTTCAGACAGCCAGTGTACCATAGGCCAGGCCATGCGGACACTGTCTCTACCTGCACCCCTTGGCTTCCACCTGGAGGGACAGGCAGGACTTCTGCCAGTTAAGACTCTGCCGTTTGCTTCTCTGGAGTCTTTTTTTTTTGGTTATTATCCCTGCTAAGAACCTTCTGAATGTCACTGACTTGGCTTAGAAGAAGAGAGAAACAGAATTATTCTGTTTCTTCCTCCCTGGTGAAGGAGGCCTTGAAGTAATAAAACTTGATTTCTTTAGAAAATCTTTACAATGCAGGTACTTTATGAACTGAGGCACCCTTTCATGTGACTAGGCCTTTGCCATTTCCAGTATATAGCACCTTCAAGGTCTTTGTAGATAAGGCAGGTTTTCAACCAAGGTGGTGGCTATAGTTGTGGATTTTTACTTTAATTTCTAAAGCTTCCTCCCAGAGCGCTACTCCTGTCTAGTTTGGGCCTGTCAGGGTCCTGGCTGGAGTGTCTGTGGCAGAAGCCCCCATCTTCTCCAGAGGGCCACGGTTGGGTTAGGTTCCTGGTGGGGGGACCCCTGCTTTCCAGGCCACTGTACCTCTATGAGTGTCTCCCCTGCATCCCACCTTCTCCTATGCCTATGTCCCACTGACGGCTTTTTTGTCACAGTTCTGCCTGTGGCTCCTGTTATTGGGTTCCCAGGGTCCCTGTGAGGTAGGTGGATTCCCTCAACCTCAGCTTGTGGTTGAGACAGCCCCTTTCAGTGTTGTGAATCGTGTGGATGAGCAGCTTCCATCACGAATATTTCTCTCTTGGTTTTGGGCCAATTTGGCAAGTGTTTATTGAACACTTCGCTATGTGCTCAGGGGAGATAGGCTATTTGTGGCGGTCTTGGATCCCTGTCTCAGGCTAGTCTAGTAAAGCATGGTCAGGGCCAGGAGAACTCAGCAGGGGGAAGAGAGGCTTTGGGTAGGTGGGTGGGTAAGTGGGGTGAGATAGCCTTGTAGAGATAATGTGATCCTGGAAGATTGGGAGAAACTAAAGGAAGGAAGAGCCTGAGGAGAGGCAGCAGTGGGAAGTTGCAGGTTTAGATGTTGGGAAAGAGCACGGGCTCTGTGGTGCACTGCCGTGGCTCACTGGTGAAGGTGCTGAAAGAACCTTGGAGGGGAGCTCTAGGTGCTCCTCTGAGAGTCCAGAATGCACTGCACCCATCAGAGTCATGTGGACAATGAAGAGATGCGTCCAGGGCACGACAGTCTGCTGGCAGCGGGGTTCGAAAATGTGAAAAGTAATAAGAACCTAAACTTGGGTGGTGGAGATGGAGGTGGCAGGTAGGATCTGTGATAGAGCAGCAGCAGCCATGACCAAAAGTGAAGAATTCATTGGTGCCTGAGTGAGATGGAGAGATGAGTCACATTTACACAAGGTAAATAATGGACACCTTAGAGTTTAAGGCGGTTTCATTGTAGGCCTTGGTTTGGGCAGGAAGTTGAAGAAGCTTCCATTGTTGAGAAGAGAAAGACTGTCTTAAGAGTGAGGGTGATACAGGTGAGGGGCATGCCAGGCAAGGACGTTTCAGACAGTTGTGGTGGACATGGGTAGGGTGTCAGAAGTGACCAGGTGGTGGCTGCAAGCACAGGAATGGGCAGCTGCCCTTAAACATGTGCACCCCTATAGAGAAGCACAGATTCCAACTCCAGCACACGCACAGACACCCGGGGTTCCGACAGGGCTCTAGAGAGGTTAAAGGATGGCACCGTGCTCAGCCAGCAGAGTTGGTGCGGCTTGTTGCCAAGCTAAACAGTTCTTTGCAGTGCTTGTAGTATATGCGTCTGGTAAGCAGAATCCTTGTTATTGCAGAAACTTAGGGTTTCTCTGATGGGAGAAGTAGAAGGCAGTGTCTGTGGTGCAGACATTCAGTTACTTGCCAGGTTTCCTTAATAGTTCACATGGAGTAAATATATCACTAATACGGTAACGGGATGTAGCTTGAGTTATTTCAAAACAGTTCCTTTCATTAGAGGGAAGTAAGAGCGTCTCACTCCTCAGGAGCCGTCGTTATACACAAAGTACTGTCTTCACTTAAAGATATTCTTCAGATGGCTGCTTTGTGAGAGGTAAGAAAACTGAAAGAGATGAGGAAAGAAAATTCTAGGAGTCTTAATGCTTTCCTACTTGAACTTTTCATAAAAGATGACAGTAAATCCTGAAGTTTTATGGGGTGTTTGTTCGGGGGAGGTGATGGGATTAGCTGTCTCCTGTTGTGTCACTGAGCACCAGACAGCTCCAGGATGAGCATGGGGCGTGGGCCCCTGGTGCCTCACATGGGCTGGGCCTATCTAGCAGTGTGCTGCTCACCAGAGCCTCATCTAGACTAGAGATAGTCCTTTTTTGGGGGGGTGGGGAAGACGGGGACACTAATTTATCATCTAAAGTGACTTTTTAATAGCAAGAACTGTTCAGTTGGTTTTTCTGTATAAACACATGCTTTGAGTTAACTCCCTTTATAAATATTATTACAAAGCTTGTTTTTTAAGAGTTAGAGTTGAGGGCCAGGGATTTAGCTCAGTGGTTCCACCGCCTGCCTCGGAAGCACAAGGACCCGATTTCGATCCCCGGTACCAAAAAAAAAAAGAGAGTTCCACTGATTAAATGATTTTTTATACACATACCCACACTTCACACACTTCTCTCTGTCACACTCACACACACTTTAATGAAATAAAATCCCAAGTGACAACACCTTTTAGCTAACCGGTGAGATTTGATTCACACACCATTCTACTTTAGAGGGTAAATGCCTCTGAATTATAACTTGCTCGTCTTTCTCGTGAAACTAGGATTAGGGTGAAGGTAGGAGATAAAGTTACTCCATTTGAAAATGGAAGGATCTTGGAGGAAAAATGAACTTTTAAATTACTAATCCTGATCTTCAATAAAGGGAGAGTATGAAATGTTGTCCTGAAAGGCCATGCCTTCTTCCAGTGCTCACTGAACAGTTGGTACACACCTGGCCTTGTTGCAGGGTCTCAGAGTAGTAAGATAAATATGAAGATCCATAAGCCTCTGGGGAAGAGGAATGTCATGCCTGGACTATATTTCTAAAAATAAGAGGGGGACAGTATGGAGGTCGTTACGACAGGGGGATAGAAGGGTGGTGGTCTGTGATGACTGAGGACTTGAGATGGTGGCTGTGGGCCTGGAGAGGGGCTGCTGAGCCATACTGAAGTCAGAGTGTGCTGCATTTGAGGCAGGGGATGGCACAGAAGATAAACTGAGGATCCTGAGTTTCCAGCTTAGTGATGCTGTTTTCCCAGAGAGAACAGGCTGTAGGGGAAGATAAGATGGGTGAGTATGGTTTGCAACATGCTGAATGGGCAGCAACCTGTGGGGCCTGAATTTATTTGGAAATGTATATGCTGTAAAATGTTGAGTCACTGGTCAGATGTTTGGAAAGTTTTTAAATGTATTAAGATAGAGGAAGAAGACGAGAGTTTTAAATGGTGAAAGGAAAGTGTACTGAACTGGGGTTGAGAGATTTAACTTCTGTTCCAGTTCAGTCCTCGGTACCAAAAACAAAACAAAAAACACCAACTTCAAAGAACTGTTCCAGTTCTTTGGCAGCCTGGACTTAAGTGCTGAGCTGAGCCATCTCACCTGAGCTGCTTCTCTGGGCTTCATTCTTCTCATGTGGTTGACTGAGACATTTCCCCCTTCTGTCTCAAAAGAATTGGTTAGAGCTGGACATGATGGTTTACGCTTGTAATCCCAGCACTCAGGGAGATTAAGGCAGGATCACAAATTTGAACACATCCTTGGCAACTTAGTGAGTTAGCAAAACACTGTCTCAAAATACAAAGGTGTGAACATACAGCTCAGTGCAAAAGACTCTCAGCTCAGTCATCAGTACTGCAAAAAATTGCTTGTTAACAGAGTGACATGTTGTGAAAACTAACCCAAGACTCTCTGTGATAGGTTTCAGTGTGACTGCTTCCTCTTTAAGGCAGTCCTTCTGGCCAGGACTCCTCTATCTTGTTACCTGACAAGGTGCCTTCCAGGTGCAGCAACTGTTGGCTCTCTCCCTTGGGGTCATCTCTTGGCCCTTATCACCTCTGCTCTGCCTTTCAGATCACCGAAGTGGCCTTGGAGTACAACAACTGTCACGGGGACCAGGTGGTGGAACGCCTCCTTCAGCATCTGCGGCAGGTGGATGTACCGGTGTCGCAGTCCCTGGCACCAAAACCACCGTCCCTGCTGCCAGGCACATCGCTGACGGCAGCATTGCCTTGCTGCAACACCGTGGTGCTGCCCCAGGGACATTCCTTTTCCAGGACCCACAACATCTGTGAGCTGTGTATCAACCAGACTGCTGGGGGCATCCGGCCGAGCTCAGTCAGTGTGCCACAGTGCAGCTTCTTCCAGATGGCAGCAGCTCTGGATTCCTTCTACCTCAAGGAGCAGACCTTTTACCACATGGCATCGGACAGCGTGGAATGCAGCAATTTTTTAGCTTCCTATAGCCCTTTTAGCTATTACACTGCATGTTGCAGGACCATAAACAGGGCCAGGGTGAGCTTCATTGATTCTGAACAAAGTATCTTTGAAAGCCCGGGTGCTGTATTTTCTTCCCTGGAGAAGAAGTGCGAGGCTGCCACCCCCATCTCCGTTCCTCATATTGAGGAGAACAGGTATCTCTTCCCTGAAGTGGGCATGACCAGCACCACCTTCACAGGCCTGAGCTGCAGAACCAACAAGACCCTGAACATCTACCTTTTGGATTCCAATTTATTTTGGTTATATGCAGAGAGACTGGGTGCTCCAAGCTCCACCCACGTGAAAGAATTTGCCACAATTGTTGATGTGAAAGAAGAGTCTCACTATATCTTGGATCCAAAACAAGCACTCATGAAGTTCACCTTAGGTACTGTAGGCAGTTTACTTCCCTGAGCATAATAAGTTTTGCTTAACATAGGTAACTCAGGTTGATGGTCTCATTACTCTTGACTATGGGGGTGACATAAACACTACAGCTAATTTTAAGTATTTATTTAGGTGCTCTGCATCAAACTCGGGGCTTTTACACTGAGCTACCTCTCCAGCCTTTATTTTTTGCTTTGCTTTTGGTTTTTTGAGACAGGGTCTCACTATGTAGTTCAGTCTCAGCTTGAACTCACTGTGTAGCCCAGGCTGGCCTTGAACTCTTGGCAGTCCTCCTGCCTCAGCCCCCTGAGTACTGGGATTTCACCATTATGCCTGACTTCATTTTAAGTTTTTAGACAGTTGGTCATAAATTGTCCTTATCCGTTGGCCATAATTTTAAGAGAAGCTAATTTTATCTGTTAAATGGAACAGAAACTTCCTAACTCCAAATTTTGGATAAGTTTGTTAGCACATGGTGGGAAGAGTCCAACTTTAGATTGGTAGTTCCTGTCACATGTCTAAGGTAGAGCCAGCTGCAGTACGGGGGACCTGACAGTTGTACCAGTCAGGAAAGTGAGAGCTGTTTGACACGATATTCAGGGGCTGATGAATGTGAGCCATTAGCACAGCATCACCCTAAAGGAGCTTAAGCAGAAAGCAGTAAGAAAACAGAAGCACCTTGCCTCCTTTTTGTCTCAGGGGTCTCTGTGTATAAATACCAAGGCCACAGGGCTTGATGGGTTCCACTGCAGTTTACAGCAGTGTTGAGGAATGCTATTCTGACCTTGAGTGCCTAGATTTTAACAGACAAGTGTCAAGTGTAGTAAATGTCAAGTTGCAAACCAGTGGAAATTACTTTTCAGGGGTTAAAGCTCTATTATGGGAAAGCATCCCACAGCTTTGTTCCCAGGAGTTGGCAACAACAGCAAACTAACAACCCTGTGCTGTTCCCAGGACTTTGCTGAAGTCCCTGACATGCACACAAGGAAGTAAAATTCAAAAGCCTTGTTAGTTCAGCCTTACTGGAAACAGGGGAGACTATGCAAAATGGAGAAAGGAGGGATTTGGAAGGGAAGGAAACGTTATTTTCAAGTTTGGAAAGCAAGAGTGAACTCAGAGCCTCTAAATCCTAGTCCATTTAGCTGTCCTCTTCCATCTTGGTGATTCATGTTTCTGATGTTAGTCTTGTTCATGTAAGGATTTATGTAAATCTGGGTTTAATGTATCAAAATATATATTATAATCATGAAGGCTCCTTGGTGATTAAAGGACTGTGACCAACCACTTTATGAGCAACTCCCAATGCATGTTTTCTAAGAGCATCTTGGTATATTTTCTTTAAAAGGAACATGCATATTTTTTAAAAGAGTTTATTCGATTTTCCAGAATTTTATTCAGGAACATTTGATGAGCTTGCAATGTGTTCACCTTGAATTTAAGGGTTTTTTTTAAAAAAAAGCCTTTGGATTTCATTCCATTTCTCTGTCTACTCTCTACTGTCTGGCTCAGCTGTTCTTTGTCCTATAACTGGTGACTCTTAGGGATCCTTACGAAACAACCTGTGTACTTGTGTCACTGTTGGCTTAGAGGGTTATCTCATAAGTCAGCCATCATTAGATTTAGATTTCAAAAACTTTGCCAACTAAGTCTTACTTAGATATGATAATGAAGTCTCTTTAGTATTCACATGACATTCTTCACTTCCTTCTTGGTCTGCAGAATATGTCATTGCCCTTTAGGACCTCAAAATGGAGAGAGGAGAAAGAGAAGTAAAACTCAGATTAGTGTTGCTTAGGTAAGGTAGAGGATGCTAAAATGGTGGTTTTTGTGGGGAGGGTAAATCTATTGGTTCAAATTAGTGTTTTTATCTGAGTTTCACTTACGTATTTTTCTATTACAAATCAGTGAGTTATTTCTGTTAATCTTTTTAAAAACAAACTTGAAAAACTTTATTAAAGTAAAAAAGCATAGTTCCTTGTTCTCAAATTTAATGAGCATTGTACACCCCCCACATTCCTGTGACTTGCACAGTTACTGCATTTGGAATTGTGCATCGAGGCCTTGGTGATACAGGTTGAAAACTCTTGAAAGGATTGTGACATGTTGATAGTGTATGAATTCTTTCTTGGGGTGTATTTGTGGGCCAGTCCTTTCAGTAAAGAATAAGATAGGATTTCTAGTCTTAGTATTAAAGCATCCAACACTGCGTGGTGTTTTGTTACCCTAAAGGACTGTTTGCCTAGCTAATAGTATGAAAGCTAAGCCTGATCCCTCCCAGGGCAGCTTTGTGCAAGGTTTTGCTTAGAGGTGAAATGTTAAAAATGTAAGCATGGGAAGTCATTTCCATTTTTAAAGTGTGGAGTTTAAAGTAGGCCATCTATTTTCCTTGTACCTAGAGAAGACCTGATCTCATTTTCTCTTTATTTTTAGAATCTTTTATTCAAAACTTTAGCATTCTCTACAGTCCCTTGAAAAGGCATCTCATTGGAAGTGATTCTGCCCAGTTCCCTTCTCAGCATTTAATCACTGAAGTAACAACTGATACCTTTTGGGAAGTCATCCTTCAGAAACAGGTATGGAGTCTCCAGAGAGGCAAAAATGAAGCATCTGTCCCTATTAAAATAATTTCCAGGGGCTAGGGATTTAGTTCAGTGGTGCTGCCGCCTTCCTTGAAAATGCAAGGTCCCGAGTTCAATCCCCAGTACCAAAAATAAAATAAAATAATTTCCAGAGCTGCAGTGGTTGGGGTGAATGGTCAGTTTTTGAGTACTGTACATATTAGCCACATGACAGTCTGATGGTGGAACATAAGTGAATTACATGTTTTTCTAATTACAGAAAGTTCTTAAAACACATAATTGAAAAGATGTAAAGATAAAAATTTTCAGTGTAATTTCTGCGTAGCTGTGGCATTAACTGAATCCCTGCTGGAGTCTAAGCATAGCAGGGAAAGGAAGAGGATTTCCCAGGTGCAAGTAATGCCCATTTTCCATCCCACAGGATGTTTTGCTGCTCTATTATGCACAGTGGTGCGGCTTCTGTCCATCCCTCAATCACATTTTCATCCAGCTCGCTCGTCTCCTGCCAGTGGATACATTCACTGTGGCCAGGTAAGGAAGCCTGTTCTGCAGCACTGTGGGTTATGATGTCCTCGCTTCTTTTTTTTTTTTTTTTTTCCGGTACCAGGGATCAAACTCAGATCCTTACACTTGTGAGGCAGGTGCTGGAACCACTGAGCTAAATCCCTGGCCCCAATGCCCTCACTTCTTTGCAGCACAGCCATGGTGTAAGAATGTCTCCCATTAGCCTGCAGTAAGGTGTGGTTGGATTTCATTGTCAGCCTTAAGCCTTGTTGAAGCTGACCTCCTGATGAATTCTGAGTGTCTGTGATAGTGAGCATGTTTAGTGCTGACTAGATTCGTGGGAGGGCAAGTGCGGTTCTGACTGCCTGGGGCCCATGGGAAGGGGAACCTGGGGTTCCCACTGGCCTGGGCCTGGAGCCCTGCCCCTTGTTTTCGTCCTCACTGGAGAAATCAGGAAGAACAGTTGGTTAATAGCCACAGATTCTCATTGTATGATTCCATGAGTACCATATGTGGGTTCTCGCATTAAAAAAGGCATTTTAATAGTTTTTGTTTTTGTTTTTTTGAAAAAACTCAAATGCAGAGTTTTTATATGAGGCAGTAAGCAGTTTTGCTGGGGTATGTGTAGATTTTCTTCCCCACCCCTCAAAATATCCCTCCAGATAGATTAAATAGAAAAGAGAAAATCACAGGAAAAAAAATAGAACAGAAAACAGAATATTGGATTTGCTAATTCCCTTGAGAGAACTTCCAAAGTAGAAGCAGTTGAAAGAATAAGGCAAGAAAGATGAACAGATTGTACTGGAAGTATGTGCATTGAAAACAAAGGAATACTGTACAGACTTCTAAGAAGGTACCTTAAGCAGTATCTGTCTCACTTGTTATATACAGTGTACTGTCAGGTAACTTTCACAGAGTCACACAACCTATCAGTGAAGGACCAGGATTTTTTACTCTAGACCCCTCACAGTTAAAATGGTTAAAGGACGGGTGAGAATGACTCCTGTGTCAACGAAAGACGTGGCAGGTATTCTGTATTCAAGGACAGAGTACATAAATAAGTGGGGAAATTTGAACCTAATAAATGTAAATTAAAACACTAACAAAGTGTGATTTACACTTATAAATTCATAAATGCCTTTAAATGACAGAATCTTGTGTTGATAAAATAAAGTGAAATTGGCACAGTCAGATGTTGCTAATGGAATGAGCAAGTTGGCATAGCCTTTTGGAAAGCATTTTGGCAACATTTGCAAGGAATCACAAAAACAGTTTTACATTTCTAACCCAGTTAACTTCACTTTGGAGAATTAGGGAAATTGGAATTCCAGAGAACAATGGGCCAGTCCTTACTGCATTCTTTATATCCAATAGTAGATGAATGGGCAGTCAGTCACATTGGCCTTTGATGGAATTTTTATCCATTCTCGAAAGCAGTGCTTTCCACATCATTAATTGAAAAGTAGAGTATGAGATAACTGGTCCTAAAACTCTATAAGTGTGTGGACCCAGGCTGAATGAAAATCCCAGGAGGAAAGCACCAGTTAGCCTGATGGAATTCCAAGTGGACTTTTACAGTGCTTTTCTTTTAATTTCAGTTTGCGTTTTCACTGGGGTAAAAATCAGGAAGAAAAAAAGCATTTGATTTTAGAATATAGTGTTTCACACCACATGCTTAAAAGGTGGAACTCTGCTGTTTTAGATAGGCTCTTGCAGACAGAGGTAGGCATGCTACTTTGTTAGTTGTGGTGAAATTGTTTTCATTCAATTATGCCAGTTTTTTTTTTAATGAATTTCATCCTTTTAAACACATGGCAATGATTCACACCCCACCACCCCTACACCACTATGCTTTCTGAAAACTCCTATCAGGGTAATGGACCCAAAGATTTCCAGCTTTTGGGTGCAGGCTTCCCACCAGGACAGTGGCTCCTTCCGTGGAGGACGCTCGCTGTCCCGCCTGCACATGTAGGAGCCTCCCTGCATGCCTAGTTTAGTGCTGCTGCTGGGGGACTGACCGCGCCAACAGTTGTAGCAACTTCTATAGTAATCGAGCACAGAATGAATGATTTAGTACTGATGTCATTTTCTTTACTCAAAACATAATCTAAAATCTGCTAAGAAAACACACTGATGCACTGTTTATGGCCTCTGTCCAGGTCTGCAATATATAAAGCAGGATAATCTGTCTTCATAGAGGTGTGGTATGTTTTATATTCAGGGTTTTTTTCTTTTTGGTTTTTTGTCTTTTGTTTTGTTTTTTGGGTTTTGTTTTTTGAGACAAGGTCTCACTTTGTGGTCCAGGCTGCCCTTGAGCTCTATGTAACCCAGACTGGCCTCAAACTCACAGTGATCCTCTGGCCTCAGCCTCCGGAGTGCTGGAATTACAGCTGTGCACCACCATGCCCAGCTTCCATTTTTTCTCTAGAACTTGTTCAGGGTTTGAAATACCTGACTAGATACTTCTAAGTGAGTTAACTACTCTTGAGGTATCTTTTGGTGAGGCATTTTGGGGGAGTTCATTTTTACTTTCAGGACATGACATTATCCCTTGGTGGAAGTTTTCCTGGTAGTGGAGAGTTGCATGTACCTGGTGGGGTCTTCACTGCAAGGGGTGTAGGAATGCACAAGGTTCTTCAGTTATTAGAAAGTTCCTTCAGGCTGGGTTTTGTAGCCCCATCTGTTAACTACTGTACTTTCCCTTTGCCTCTGCCAGAATCGATGTGTCTCAGAATGATCTTCCTTGGGAATTTATGGTTGACCGGCTTCCTACCATCTTGTTTTTCCCCTGTAACAGGTAAGGCTGAAATTTTTTTAATATCGGGAGGATAGGATTCTCTTGTTGAGGTCTGAAGATAAAAGGGGTTTAAGAAGTAAATCATTTGTTATGACTAAACTGTTCAAAGAATGTGCCATTACAGACGTGGGCATGCTTTATTCTCAGAATGTCACATGTGGTGATTTTCTTTGAAGAAATTTGCTCTTTCCTGTGTCTGTTTCTTTTTGTTGTTGTTGATTTTTGTTTGTTTTGGTACTGGGGATCGAACTCGGGACCTTGCGCTTGTGAGGCAGGCAGCAGAACCATTGACCTAAATCCCCGGCCCCTGTGTCTGTTTCTTAAATGAGGATCCATACAGGAACATACAGAGGATGCCAAAAGGAAAGAGCCTCATGTAGGTGTGGGGTAAGGCAAAAGGCAGCCTGTGAGCTCTGCTTTTCCCAAGATTTCCACAAGCATCACTTCTCATTTAGCCCTCCGGCACCCACATCCTTCTTGTACCAGAGAGGTTTCTTATCCACTGCACCGTTCTTCCTCGGATTCATGGAGCCTGTGAAAAGGAGCTTTTGCTGCATGTATGCAGAACACTGAATGTCTGCCCTGGGGTCATCACCTTGATCTTTTCACATTTTGCCTAAATGTTACTCCAAGGTCAGTCATTACAGAAACTGCTGGCAGCACCCAGCAAGCAGGGATGGGGCATTAGCAAAGGAGAAAGAGAGTTGGACTGAGTGAATATGGGTGGAAGTGTTTCAGTAGAAAAGGAAAGGAACCCTTGGCCTTTTAAAGCCTAGTAAGCCTGCCAGTCTGAACTACAAAGCAAGACTCTGTCTCAAAAAACCAAAAAATAAAAATAAAGCCTATTAAGCCGGATGTTGGCACTCTTCTTTTTATATACAGATTACCTTCAGTTTTAGGATAGGTCCTCATGGGTATCCACTCACGTCCTCTCTGGGAAACATGTTTGCAGGGTCCTGTAAAGAAGGCCCTCACCTACACGCATAGTATTTACTGTTTTAATTTCCTGCCTCCCTTTTACAGTCATCGTGCCACTGTATGGTTATCCTGTTTGTCTAGGGGAGTGCATTCTTCTTATCTGTTGAATCATTGCCTTTATCTCCGAGAATGTTTGCCAGAATACTTCCTATGGTACAGTAGTAGGGTCTTGTCAAATCATGCACTAAAAACAGAACGTGACTCACTCTCTTCTTCTGCTGCTTGTGTCAAGATGCACCTCTTTCTAAGAAGCGTTTAAATTGCCACATAATCAAGGAATCGTGGACACTAACACTAGCAATTTCATCTGTGTGAGACAAGTTTGGCATATAGTTAATGACATGTAATTTTTGAATTCCAAACATAGTTTGATAAGGTAATGAAGCCATAGCACCCAACATTCGCCATTGCACGAAAAACTTCTCAGCTCCTGTAAATGAGTATGTGTTGAGGGAGACAAGGAAAGAGCAGGAGCGTTACAGGTGAGGGCTTCTTTGGAGCTATGTGGGGTTAGAAGCACGAAGGTGGATTTGTTCTGCAGATCTGGGTGGGCCAGTAGCTGCAGCCCCTTCCTCTGTCATTTGCATGTTTTTTGTTTGTTTGAAACAGGGTCTCACTATGTATATAGTTGAGGCTGGCCTTGCACTCGCTATAAAGCCTAAGCTGGCCTCAAACTTTCAGTAATCTTTTGCCACACCCAGCCTGTCCCTCACATTGGAAAGGTCAGGAGGGAAATACTGTCCGGTTCTATTTTTAACAGAAAGAGCTTGGTATTTTAAAGAAAGATCTTACTGCTTTGGAATGGAATTTTTCTCATTTCCTAAAAACAAATGGTAGGCCCAAGTGAAGTAAGCTCATCATGAGCTGGTCCAAAGAGAATGTTTGGCTTACCCAGGAGGGAAATGGTCAAATGGTGTGAGGTGGCAACTTGCAAAAGAGGAAATGAAAAAGGCTGTTTGATAACATGGAATAAGAAGGCCTTTTTCACAGCTGACCTGCTCACACTGTTTTTAGTAAAAAGAATGTAAAATTGTACTGTGAAAAGTGCAAATTTGTACATGCCGTAGGTGAAAATGTGTACAGAAGGGAAGGTGTCAAGGTGTCGATTGCATCAGAGAGGTGAGGATTATAAGTGATTTGAAGTGAAGATGTTTCTTGCACAGTTTTTCTGTTGCTCGCCGCAAGCTATGGATAATAAACATGTCCCCTTTTATTAGTACATGTTTGTAATCCATGCACTTTACAGTCATCTTGGGAAGTAGTCACATGTACATATTACAGCTTGTTTCTTTTTTTTTAAACTCCCCCTCTTTCACCTATCCCCTTTGTCACCTATCCCCTTTTTCATACTTGTTGATATTATTTGTCTTAGCTCATGTGGCATCTGATGTTTACATCAATTGAGGGTATTCGGTTCCTATATATGGCATCGCTTTATTCCTCTCATTTCCCCTTCCCCTCCCCCTCCTCCTCACCTCTCACCCTTGCTCCCTTGGACCCCTTCACTGTTGCAAGAGATCCGTCCCTTGGTCCCTTTCTATCCATCCTTTATCATTTTCTTTGTTTGTACTTTGCCTCACTCAAATGAGGGATACCAACGGTATTTAAGGTTGTGTGTCTGGTTTATTTTACTGAACATTATATTTTCCAGGTGCATCCATTTTCTGGCAAATGTCTAAAATGTGTCATTCTTTATAGCCGAGTAGTATTCCATTATATATAGGTATCATATCGTTTTTCTTTATCTAATTATCTGTTGATGGGTATACAGGCTGCTTCCAGGATTTAGCTATTACAAATTATGGTGCTATAAAACTTGGTATAAGTGTATCACTGTAGTATGACATCTTAAGCTCTTTGGGGAAGATACCTAGCAGGAAAATAGCTGGGTCATGTGGAATTTCTAATTTCAGTTCTTTGAGAAATCTCCATACTGATGTCCATAGTGCTTGTACTAGTTTGCATTCTCATCAACAATGCAGGAGAGTTACTTTTTCACCATAGCCACACCAGCACTTGTTATTGTGTGATTTCTTAATGATTGCTACTCTTTCTGGAGTAAGATGGAATCTCAGGATTGTTTTAATTTGCAATTCCATAAGAGCCCAAGATGATGAACATTTTTTTTCACATATTTGTTAACCATTTGTATTTTTTTTTTTCTCGTACTGGGGATCGAACTCAGGACCTTATGTTTTCGAGGCAGGTAACAGAACCACTGAGCTAAATCCCCAGCCTAACCATTTGTATTTCTTCCTCAGTGGAGTGTCTGTCCCTTTCTCTTGCCCGCCTCCTTTTTTTTTTTTTTGTACTGAGAATCAAACTCAGGGCCTTGGGCTTGCTAGGCAGGCACGATGGTGCTGAGCTACACCCCAGCCCTTTTTTGTCCATTTCTTGACTGGAAAACATGTCCCTTTGGATAAAAGTTATGAAGGAGAGAAACTGAAGGAGCCTGTCCCTAGCTGTGACATTCAGCCCAGTCATCTGTGCCGTCCTCTGGTCTTGCCTCGCTTCTGCAGAGGCAGGAGGCAGGCAGATTAACCATCACTCTCCTGCCCAGGGTTATCTTGGAGCCACTCCTACAGTAGCCTACATCAGACTCAGCCCAGTAGGGTAGTACCAGGCTCAGTTGTGCACATATGTAATCCTAGCCATTTGGGAGGCAAGTTCAAGGCCCACCTGGGAAACTTAATGAGACACTGTCTCAAACCAGTTGGGGAGGGGCAGTGCTGGGGACTGAACCCAGGGCCTTTGCTCTAAGTTACCTCCCCACCTCCCCTTTTCTAAACTTGTAATTTTGAGACAGGGTCTTGTTAAGTAGCCCAGACTCAGCTTGAACTTGCAGTCTTCCTGCCTCAGCCTCCTAGAATGTTGGGATTATAGATGTACACCACCACGCTCAGCACGAAGTAATTTTAATGACGGGTGGGCTGGGGATATAGCTCCATGGTATATCTCTTGCTAGCATTTGTGAGGCCCTGAGTTCCAACCCCTGGACTGGGAAAAAAAGAAAACAAAATGCAGATGCCCTGGCCTGGCCCTGGGCCAGGTGGTGGGGTACACACTCTCCACCTAGGGACTTGGGGCAGCTCCTGCAGGAAACCTCACTGCTCCGAAGGGGTGCCTGGCCCTCCACCAGGGTGAGAGGAATATCGGACATAGTAGCGGGCCTCTTACCACCATACTTCCCAAAAGACTGCTTTGGGGGAGCAGTTTGATAGTCCGCGTCCTAGCTCCTCTTTAAAAGTGTGAAAGCATATTAGCATAGTTAAGGAGATTGGTGGCATTGCCCTTGGAGATACCGTGCTTCCAAATGTCATCCAGTAAGCATCTCCAGAGACAGATGAAGGTGCCTCTTGGCACTTTGCTGGCTGGCAGTGGTGCACCTGCTCTCTGCCCTAGGACATGGTCTGCACTGCGGAGGGAGGGTCAGCCTCCCAACCCCTGCCAGCCGCCCTCTCAGGCCCCATGCAGGGGGCTCCATGTCCAGAGAACTGTGCTTTAAAGGAGGGGGAGTAAAATACTGTAAATTATTTTATTGTATAAAACCTATGTGCAAGGTGCCAAGTTGTTCTTTAGGTTAATATTACCTGAGAGTTTAAAAACCTTTACTTGAAGGCATATCTATTTTGATTTCCTTGTAGTTTTTGCTAGGGAAAGGGCTACCCTTTAATAGAACGAACACCTTTTGTCATTTTTAGCTATTTGGCCACTGACTGTGTGGAGGGAGTGTGGCTTTTTAATTAGTGCTATTCTTAAGGAACAACAATGCAGTTTTAAAAAAGCTTACATTGAGCCCCTAACAACAGTCCTGTGAGGTAGGGAACACTATTGTCCCCATTTTACAGAAGGAAGACAAGTCACTAGTGAGAGCACAGGACAGTGACCAGACCCACTCTGGGCAGCTGGTCTCTGGATCCCTGCCCTTGACCTCTGCTCTTTTCTGTTGTATTGGAGTTTGGGGGGGGGGGGCGGGTTGGTACCAGGGATGGAACTCAGATCCTTCGACTTGCAAGGCAGACGGCAGAACCACTGAGCTAAATCCCCAGCCCTGTTGTATTGTGTTTTTTTTTTGAGACAGGGTCCTGCTATGTAGTCCAGGCTGACCTCACAGTAATCCTCCTGCCTCAGCCTCCCGAGTGCTGACCTTACAGGCATGTGCCACCACACCCAGCTCCTTTAATAAGTGCTGGAGCTGATCCCCCATCTTTTGGCTGACCTCAAGCATAAATGCAGAAAGGTGGTAGCTTCAATTCAGTGCAACTAGGTGGTGCATACATAGTAAACAGACCTCTGAAACTATGGCTGTCAGACATTAAATGGCAAGTTCTGCAGAGAATTTTCTAGATAAGAACACTGAACAAAACTGTGGAGGAATCTCTTCCAGTGTGGCTCTCCTCATTTGACATTTTGAGGCCCAGAAGATGTAATTTTTCTGGGTCCCTTGGTTGCTCTGTCAGCCAGTAGTACCTCCATGGGGATAAGCCCAGTGTCACAAGGGGAAGTTGCTCCCACCTGAGAACCCCAGCCTCAGAGAACATGTATAAAGGCTCGCTGAGGAATCAGGCTGAGTTTTCAGGTTTTCCAATTTTGCCAAGCACTGTTGATGGCCACAAAGCCACCTGGTGACAGGAAGCCTGCCCAGGAAGCCTGTCCTGCATGACCACTGGGGCTCACAGAGCACCCGGAAGACACTTTCCGCATGTTCCCAGTGCCCTCTGTCACTGGGCCTGGGAGCTGTTGTCTTTCTAGAAAGTTGTGTTTAGAAACTGCATTGCTCAGGAACAGACACATTTAAGATAAGCCGCTGTAATCACAGCACAAGTGAATGGGACAGCTTATGGAGAACTACTTGCCAGGTTAACTTTTTTCATCCTCACTTTCTGCAAGCAAACTCCTCAAAGTGTCTGTCCATTATTTTGGTTCTGGTGATTTTTTCTTGCTAAGAGTAGATGGCATGAGCTCCAGTAGCACCTGGACTGTGCCTGCTGCCATGACTCATAGCTAATTCCTCTCTCTTTCTCTCCAGAAAGGACCTAAGTGTGAAATACCCCGAAGACCTCCCCATCTCCCTTCCGAATCTGCTGAGATTCATCTTGCATCACTCAGACCCTGCTGTGGCCCCCCCCAATGTGGCCAGTGCCCCTCCCAGAGGCTGTCTCCAGAGCGAGGCAGCCTTACAGCAGGGGCACATTGTCCACTTGGAGAGAGAGGTCCAGAAACTTCGAGCAGAGTTACGCAGCCTGCACCAGGCCCAGGTGCAGGTGGAGGGGCAGCTGTCCAGCGCCCGCAGGGATGAGCGCTGGCTACGGAGGCAGCAGCAGGCCCTGCAGCAGCAGCACAGCCTGCTGCGGCAGCACAGCGAGCAGCTGCAGGCCCTGTATGCACAGAAGGCCCGAGAGCTGGAAGAGCTGGCTGATGCCTCAGAGACCCTCCTCACTGAGAACACGTGGCTCAAGATCCTGGTGGCCACCATGGAGAGGAAGCTGCAGGGCCAAGACAGGGCTGAGGACCCAGCCCCGCCAAGAGAAGCACACCCTGACCACCCCGAGCCTGCAGGTGCCCCCCTGCTACCCGGCGGCATTCCCCCACCTTCCAATGCCAGCTCCCCACTGCCATCTGAGAGGAAGAATGAGAACAGGACAGACTAACTTGAAATAATGAAGGAATCAAGAGGTGAAAACTGTACATTGGGAATATATTTATGCAAATTTTATTGAAACTTATTGTAAATAAAGATTTTTCTCAGTGGTCTAGAAAATGAATTTGAATGTTATTCAGCTTTTCTTGACAGGGATAACATCCCTTCCACTTATTGCACAAACTTGGTAGCTTCGAGACAAAAACAGTAGCACAGTCCATTTGAAGAGCTGTCCGAAAAATTAGTCTATAATTTGGTGGCTCAATGTCAAGAGTTCTTTTCCCACTCCCCTGCTGCTGCTGCTGCCTCTGCCATGATATGAAGGATGAAAGGTTAACTTCCTGGCTACTCAGAAAACTTGAGTGCAACATTTGCACTATTGAGAAAATTCAAAGAGAGGTCATAATTTACTAAGCCATCTGCGTGTGACTGGTGTCTGTGCTAAACTATTGATATATAAGAACAGTGAGGGCTGTTATGTGTTCAGTCTCTGGACATTTCATCTTCTTCCCAAAGACCCCCGCCAGCACCCCACCATGCTTCACCCACCCCAGTGCTTCCATCCCACTTTGATGGGCCTGATTCAAGCTCCAAAGATGTCCCTGGCAATCGGAAGTTGGGGTAAGAAAACCTCCAAAAGTGACACTGGTGAGAAAGCCACATCTAATCATTTAAAACCAAAGCTTCACTGGCACAGTAACCACTGCAAGGCAAGTCTGACAGCAGAGCAAAGGTCAGTTCCAGGGCCAGGCTCAGAAAATGCAAATCCCAGCCACTCGTGGACGACTGGGCTACGGAACTGGAGGACAAACCAGGCTACTTGAGTAGAGGTAGAAAGCCCAGAAGGTATGACACGAGAGGGGATGGATGAAAAGCCCCGGCCTTTTCTACCTACTTCCTCCACAAGTCACCAGCTGGCACCTTTGGCCCTTCTGTCCCCTCCTCCAAGGTCCCATCAGTGGCTGGACCACTACTGGCACTGCCATACATCCTTCCCACCTCAGCCTGTACAGCCTCTGCTAACGTCCAACCTGACCCTCACCATCTCTTTCCCACTTGGCCAAGGGCATTTCCTCCCTTGCTCCCTAAGGGTCCCCAGGAGCCACCTCATAGTGGTTCAGTACTGCTTTCAACACAGTGGCCTCATTAGCTACCCCCTTCCCACCCCAAGTCATTTAATGGCTGATGGCCAGTTTAGGTATATGCTGCCAAAGTGGAAGTGCTCCCTGTAGCTCCCCACAGGGGTTCTAGAACGGTGAGTTCAACAACCTTTTCAGAGGAGGCCCGAGCTCTGTGCTCCCTGGCCATGCTGTCAGCAGGTGACTCAAGTGTATAGGGCCAGTGCTCCAAGGTTAAGCCTCGGCTGGCCTCTGGCTCATCAGCCTGGATGCCGACGAAAGCCACGTTTGAATCATGTTGTTTCAATCAGGAGCTGCTTGCAGTGGTGGGGTTAGAAGTCTAAGCGAGCTCAGTGGAGTGTACACAAGGGACAACTTGGAGATGCAGCTGTCAAGGTGTGGCCTTGACTAAGCAACCAAATCCTCATCTAGAAACAAAGTCCTGAGCTCCTTCCCACTCTCCCCCACTCCCTGCACGAAGTACAGACTGGCAGGGAGCATCTGGTAGCTCCAGTGCGAGTGTGAGTGTGCGCCAAAGAACGCGTTGCACCGCATGGCAGTGCTGTGAACAGTCTAGAGACCTGCCCGCCCTGTGAGGAGAGAGCTGCCCTGTGAGGAGAGAGCCGGTACCCAGCAGGTGGGCGGTCACCAGAGGAAAGGAAGCTGGCTTGTGAAAAGGGAAGTGGCTGGGAAGGGGCGGGGAGACAGTAGTCTCTTCCTCCACCTTAAAAAACAAAAATGTTTCCTCTCTCTCCTGGGCTATTTGGGTTTCCGACGGAAGGCAGCCATCGTGGGCTCTGATGTTTCTATGAAGCCTGAACTGAGGGGAGTACTCGGCATGCGCAAGACCAAAGGGACGGGAAACTGCTCTGCCACCAAGCTGCCTGGCAGCCCTCGGGACTTGTGTCCTTCACCGGCTCCTGAGCAGATACGGTAGCTTCCTTGCAATAATGCCATCAACAGGCACTGCTATTAAACAACTGCATTTCCTGAACAGAGGGAGGGGTGTAGTTCTGCCTGGTACTAACCAAGCAGAAATCACCAAAGCAGCCCAACTGATCGGCTAGCTTCGAGGCCTAACACTTGACCCTTCACTTCTTCACATACCATGGATAGACGTTAGAGCCCCCTGCCAAGTGCAGCTCGGCCTTTGAAAGCCTAAGACCCGCCATGGTCTTGACTTGGCTCATCACGAGTACAGTCATAATCCAACCAGTTCCTCCCGTGTGCTCTAAGTGATATTTTTAAAAATCAGCAAAAAGGTTTAAGCACGTGCTTCTGGGGCCTATTTACAGTTCACAGGTTTGTTAATTCACGCATTACAGTAGTAGCTCCATCAAAAACAGGCTCAGCTAAACATTCAAGTAACGAAAGCTCTAAGGGGCCAGGAGCCCCGTAAGGTCTGGCCTACCCACTGCCTGCAATGGGCAGCCCCACCAGGAGACCGAGGGGGAGCCCAGGACGGCCAGGCCCCCGGAGTCAGTGCATGTGATGATGAAGCCTGCTGAGGCCATGCCAGCAAGTGTCAACCCTTCCTCTCAAACAGCAGCATGTCTGTGTTCTGCCCTCCCGGTGCCTCTCAGCTGGCTGTAAACAGGACCAGGAGCCTCAGCCAGCCCAGATCAGCCATGCACTTCCGGGCCACTGGGGGTCATCAACTTGGCCTTCCTCTCCACACACGGTCCCTTGGCTGAATACTGCACCAGCAGGAAGGGCTCCTTGGTCTCGCCATCCCCCACGATGCTCTCCTCATCCTCTGACTGGCTGATGCGCTGCAGCCGCAGGTAGCACCAGCAGCCCAGGATCAAAGCCCCCAGCGCAGCAATGGCGATGAGGATGACGATGACTGTAACCACACCCGTGGTGGGGCTGTGGTCCATAATAGACATGGTCAGTGCTTGGGGGCACTTCCGTAGCGGGAAGCTCTTGCGCCTGACTGGTTCAGTGAGGCTGGAACTCCGGCTGGACACAAGAGTCCTAAAAGACAAAGCAAGGTGAGGCTACACCAGGGGCTCCATGAGGAACAAGACCATTCACAAGCTTCAGGTAGCATGTCTGTATTTTGGGGTTTTTTTTGTTTTTTCAGTACTGGGGACAAAACCCAGAGTTCGACTTCAGAGTACAACTGAGCTACATTCCCAACCCTTTTTATTTTTTGAGACATGGTCTTGCTAAACTGCCCACACAAGACTGGAGTTCATGATCCTCTTGCCTCAGCCTCCTTTAGTACTGGGATTCTGGCTCCGTGGGGTCTGTTTTTTGTTTTTTGGTACCGGGGATCAAACTCGGGTCCTTGAGCTTGCGAGACAGGCGCCGGAACCACTGAGCTAAATCCCTGGCTATGGGGTCTATTTTTAAAGACCCTGACCATCCTGCCCACATCCCAGTGAAAAACACACAATTGGCTTTCACTCTCTTCACAGATCCTTATCCCAGCCTGCTTCCACCAACTCCTCTGATAACTAAGTGTATAGGAGCAGACAGCCAAGACACCCTCGCTCAACCACCGGCCTGAATAACAGGAAGGGGGAGATGGGAGACACGGCAACAGGTGTGGCAGAGGTCGCAAAAGGGCTGGACGACTCTTTCTCCTCAGTTTAAGGTGCAGATCCTGGCAGCCAGCACCATGGGTGTCCAAGAACTACTCGGGGCCTGAGAGGAGCCAGCAGCTTCCTGAAGGCTAGAGAGGAGGGACTTACAAAGCAGGGAAATGATATCTGCCCCTGTGGGGAAGGGGTGACCATACAGAGCAACCAGTCTTTCTGGGACCCCTGCAAGAGGGTACAGTAGACAAGAGCTTCTGCCACGAGGAGCTGCAACTGGTCTGGGAAGACCCTGGTGTTCAGAAGGCAGACTGAAGTCAACCAAGCAAGCAAAAGGGAAGGGGCTCCCAGAACCTCCAGACACTGGGGAGAGCTTCGGGGGCGGCAGGGGAAGTGTGACAATCAGTTCCTGTCTGCACACTGATCAGTGTCTCGTACGGAAGCCAGACTGCTACAAACACAGGTGCCACATGACTGCGAGGGACCAAGTGTTGTGACACTGCACTTGGAGAACAGGTGAGTTGCAGGAAGGCCACACTGGGGAAGAGCATTCCCGGCAGGGCAACAGCAGCTTCTGGGGTAGGAGGGCAGCCCAGCCGGTGTGTATGAAGAGAAGGGGCAGAAAAGTGGCACCTGTGGGTCAGGCATGCACTCAGGTGTGCAGGGGGCGAGGTCCCACCCCAGGCGAGGGACCTGAGAGAACTCCCTCATCCAGCAAGCCCCCAGCCCTCCCTCTGCAGCAGCGACTCCTGAGGAGCAAAGCAGAGGGGGTCTGTGCGACCGCAAGTCAGCTCCCGAAAACCCAGATTCCAGTCTCCCTCTCACCCTTCCAGGGCTTGCTCGAGGTGACCCCAAGGCCTAGCCTGAGCCAGACCTAGAGATGAGGGCTTTGCGCTGTTGCCACCCTGGGTGCTGCAGCTAACGGACTGTCCTGCCACCCCAAGACCCTGCACTGTCTGCCCTCTCCTGTCGCCACGTGCTTGGAGGGGAGCACAGCACTGCAGCTCACACCCCTGCCAGGAGGGAAACGTAGAGGCCCCAGTGCACTCCTCACTGGGCTGGGCAGTCTGCACCAAGCACTGCTTGTCTCAGTTCGGTTTTGTTTTTCCCTTTCCTTCAGTACCAAGGATGGAACCCAGGACCTTGTGCATGCTAGTTAAGTGTTCTACCAGTGAGCCACATTCCTGGCCCTTTTTATTTTTATTTTTATAGACAGGGTTTCACTAAGTTGCCTGGGCTGGCCTCGAACAGGTGATCTTCCTGCCTCAGCTCCTAAGTAGCTGGAACTATAGGCATGGGCCATTGCGCCTGGGCTGAATTCATTTTCTTTCTTTTTTTTTTCAGAAGAGTGACATCAACACAGGTAAACAGCACTGGAAGTTTCCCCTCGAAGCAGGACTGAACCTGCCGTGTCCTTGAGCAATAACAGCTTTAATTAGAAATGACTTAGCCAACTGGGGAAGCTCTCCAGGGGCAGGCCTGCCTGAAGGTCAAAGGCAGCTAAGTCAACACCCCAGAGAATCGAGGGACCAGGCTCTGCGTCAGGGACTTCCTCCCTGCTGCCTGCGCCCACTTCTACAGAGATGTCACTTAGGCAGGAGGAGGCGACATCCCTGGAGTCTACACCCCTCCACTCACCTCCAGGACCCGAGCTGCTGCCATCCCTTTGAACAGGCTCCACCCATAAAGGCCCACTGCAGCCAGGGCCTCTTTCAGTCACAACACAGGACACACCCAAGTCCTCACAATGACCTAAGGACAGGCTGCGTCTCCACCCCTGGTCACTGCTCCCAGCCATGCCTCCGCACCACCCCTCTGGTGCCCTCCTGCTGCCAGGCCTTCCCTCGTAAGCTCCTTCTCCCCAGATGCTCTGCTCCCTTACACTTGTTCGGTGATCCTCCTGGGACATCTGACGGTACCTGGAGCCATGTTTATTTGTTATAAACAGAAGAGGGAGGTGGTCCTCCTGGCATCCAGGGGGTAGAGGCCAGAAATCCTGCTAAAAATCTGACGAGGCACAGGATGGTCCTCATAACCACAGCACCACGTGACCCCGCTGCCACAGATGTCAGCAGTGTGAAGGTGAAGGACTCTGACCTAGTTACACCAGCTCCACAAGGAAGCACATCTCGCCAGGAAGCCGGTGGGGGCTCCCTCCCCCAGGGTTCTGGGCTCACTCTGCAAGCCTGGGTGTAGCCACCTCGTCGGAGTCTGCTCGCCCGTGACCCACCCCCCACCCCCACCCCCCCGTCCGCTCAGGACTCCACACCTGACAGGGCATCCCTGGCTTGGGCAGCCTGCCCGCTGCACTGAGCCTGCCTCTCCACCTGCCCTGCCTCCACCCCCCACTCCCGGCCTTCTGGACAGGAAGGTAAGTCAGTATCAACTGGGAAGGGAAGTGTGTGTTTGGAGGCTGGGGGTGACTTGGGGCAGGAACTGGGAAATCAGACAATGGTAGCAGGACATAAGGGAGAAACCCAGGGGGCAAAGCCAACTGGGGGTGGTGTCAAGAGGCATCCACAACGCTAGGTGGAAACCGGGCATCCTGGGACTAACAAGGAAACTGAGACACAAGCAGCTCAGCTCACAGGGACTTTCTGGGCGGGGCGGGGTGGTGGTGGGGTGACCCCAAACCCCTGCCTGCTCCCTCGCCCCTGGCCCTCCCCTGCTTGTTCCTACTTGTGCTCAGCAAGTATTTTCTGAGAACTGATGTAAAAAATCTGATCATGCCAATTCTCCACTCAGATCCTCCCTGGCTTCAGAAGAGAACCTGGATTCACTGCCTATGCAGGCTGCTTCCTGCTGTCCCTGTGGACCAGGCTCTGACCCGTGGCCTGACCCCCAGGTTCTTCCCTGACTGTCTCGCCCTTGGCTGGCCCCTTCCTGTAACCCGGGACCTCCTCAGAAGATCCCTCTCTACTCTCTCTCCCAGACCCTGGCTCCGAGCCCCTTCTTCCCACACTTGCCTTACTTCCGTTATTTCCTGGGCTCTGTGCAGCCAGAAACTCTCTTGGGACAGGGGTGTTTCCCTGGCTGCTGTCTCTTCCCCAGGAACTCCAAGAGGAAGAGGAAGGCACCCCCTCCCCCACCTGTGGCGATATCCCATCATCAGCACACACAGTAGGCGCTCAGAAACAGCAGCTGAGTGTTCCAAGCCCAGGGGTGCAGTGTGGAGTTAGAGGGGAGTCTGCTCTCACAGGGGAGCCCAGCCGGGAGCTGAGCCCCTCAGCCCAGCCCACACCAGGACTGGTGCACAGGCCCCATGACCACTCCTCAGTAGGCAAGGAAGGGCAGGTTTCAGCTGGAGGGCTGGGCAGGAGAGTGCCAGTGGCCTCCAGCAGGCCGGGCCCACACAGGGCAGCTGGCTCCACACACTGGGGGGATGGGAGGCGCGGCCAAGAAGCCAAGTCCAGGAAGAGCCCGGAGCACTGAGGGTAGCCGAGCCCCAGGCCCCTGCTGCACCTCTCCTGGCCTCCCACAGGCGCTCTGAGCCTACAGTGCTCTCCCACAACCAGGGAGCCCTTACCCTGACCCCCAAAGCCCACAGGACATGGCAGGACAAGGGTCAAAGCTCAGGCAAGGGAGGTGCCCTGGATGGCTCGTGGGAAAGCTGGGCCATCTCAGGACAGTTGCCACAACCACTCACACTCACCTTATACATCCCCCCACCACCCCATGGCCAGCTCTGCTTGCTATACACCTCGGTTTGCAGAAGAAGACTGAGGCACACGGCGTTCAAGTGGCCTGCCCAAGAGTAAAGAGCTAAGAAGCAGAATGTGAACCCAGAAGAGGGACCCGAAGAGCACAGAGAGGGTCTAGAAATGCAGAGGGCCAGCCCAGCCAGCACAAGATCGGTCCCAGCCAGGGCCAAAGGGCTCTGGCACTAGGGGGGATCCCCTCTCCAGCTCCCTGGTCAAGACAAACCTGGCGTCTGAAGCCCAAGGCCAGCTGGCTCCTGCCAGCCCGCAGGGCCAACCCTATCCAGACCACACTCCCCTACACCTTGTGTCTGACCCTGGGATCCCGCCCATCACTCCTGGAAAAGCCCAGACTCTCCAGTCTGCAGCGCTCCTGGCCCCCAAACACCCTCACAGGAGGTCAGCAGCAGCACAGGACACCCACGTCCCCTGGCAGGACAGGAACAACAAATTCCAGGGGAGCCCTGGCCAGCACGAGCTCTGGGACCTCTCGCTACCGCTCAGATTGCAGTGGTATAGGAATCGCTGTGCCCAGTTTCCCAAGGTCAGGGCACACGCAGGGGCTGAGGCCCAGCAAGTCCAGTCAGGGCAGGGATAGCCTATGATCCTTCTCTCCCTCCCAGGCCACGTCTCTCCTCTAGGTCTTCCCTCATGACGGGGGGGACGTCAGTGGCCCTGCGTCTTCAGGGGATCCTGCAGTAAACCTTCACCTGCACAGCTCACAGCAGGCAGGTAAGGTCCTGCCTCTCCCCACCGCACTGGCCTAGTGGCCAAGGGTCCTCACTGTGCAAAATGGAAGTGCATCCCCGCCCTCACCTCCTAGCCCAGCCCAATGTCACAAACAGCCCCTTCCGCAGGGACAGGCTGCCTGCCTCCACACTTAACTGGGCACAGAACGAGTGCTGCCAAGCTCGGCTGGGCACTAGCTTGCCAGCCCCACCTGCAGCTTCCTCCTCCTGGGGTTCCTCAAGGGAAGCCAGGGGGGCTGCCCTGCTTGCAGGGGGAGCCAACCCTCAGGGACTTCCAGCACTGCCCCCGGAGCTGAGCCAGGCACCCACTCCAATGAAGCCACCCAACAAGGGTGCCACTTGACCAGGCCCTGCCTCTTCAGGGGACCCCAGTTCACAACCCAGCAACATTTCCTGCCTCAGGTTGTGAATTAGTAAACAGGCCTGTAGAGCAAAGTGGGCACCGCTGGACAGTCAGGATGAAGGTGGAAATGTCCACTCTGTGCCCGGCCCCAGCAGGCTGTGGGACACAAGGACGCACCACACAAGGTCCCTGCCCTCTAAGAGCCTGGACCAAGAACAGCAGGAATGCCAACAGGACTGTGCCCAGCTCTGCAGTGAGTTGAAGCCATCTGGCCCCCCACCTCTTCCCCAGAGGAGAAACTCCCTCCAGAAGCCCCCAGCTTCCCAGACAGAAGAGGAAGCTGGAGACCGAAGAGCTCAGGGACTGCCCCAAGGTCAGCCGGGGGTCTGCTGCCGCACGGGCCTGAGGTTTCTGCCCGCACCCAGTGCCGGGCTGACCATCCTCGCAGGCTGCTCCAGGTCAAAACGTTTGGCCAAACAACTTTAGTAAGAAAAGCAGATGCTACAAGAGTTGGTGCTGATTACTGTGTGCCAGACACATCACTGAGCAACTCACATAGATGTCTCCAAGATTTCTACCTCCAAACAACCCGAGTTAGCAGAACTCTTCCCACTTGGCAGATAAAGATAGGCTCGGGAAGTTAAGTCAAACGCCCAAGGTCATACAGCTAAAATGTAGATGTGCAAGAATTCATATTTAAACCCAGGCAGCCCTGATCCCAAATTCTGGATTTCAAACCACACTAAACTGTCATATTCCTGACCCTCATCTCCCTCCCCCGGACCCGGACCCCAGAGGGACAAGCTCAGGGACCTGTGGCAGGACTCACGCGATGCTGGGGACTCGGGAATGACAAGCGTCCGGGCAGTTCCTGCTTGCGGAGCGCGGGCGGTGAGCGGGCACGGTGCCAGGCTCGCTCCACGCACCCTCTCATTTAATCCGCCAGGCGACGCCGCGTCTCCCCCACTATGGAGGAGTAAGGCGAGGCTCCAGGGAAGCTGAGGCTCGGGCAGGGGGCGACAGCTGGAGAGGAAGCGACAGCTGGAGCGGCAACTCCAGTCGGCCCGACTGGGGTGGGGGAGGGGACGGGGACCGCGAGACCCAGTCCTGCCCACGCCGCGCAGTCACTGGCGACCGGCACCGACATCAGAGGCTGCGGCTCAGCCTCAGTTTCCCCACCCAGGAAATGGGCGCCCGACGCACCCTGGACCCCCGCCCCCAGGGCCCTCCTGATCACACTGGGGGCTACAAAGAGCCCCGTTTGTCCCCTACATTTTGAAAAATGTTGAAGTGTCCCAGGGAGCCCGGCGGCCCGCGTAGGGCGCAGAACTGCGAGCCGCGGCGGGGTCCTCGCAAAGGTCCGGGGTGGGGGGGCGGCGCGCCCGCTCCCCGCAAAGCAGCCTCCGCCCCCCCGCCTCCTCCTTTGTCCGGATCTCGCCGCAGCGCAGCAGACAAAGAGCCCCTAAAGCGGGCGCGGCCCCCGGAACAGACCCTCCCGAAGCCGCGCCGCCCGCCCGCCGCTCCTTCTCCGCCGCAGAGACCCCGGCCCAGGGCTCCGCGCCCCGCGCGCCCCCGCCCCGTCTGGGGCCGCCCCTGCCCCTCCCGCAAGCCCCGGCAGCCCCAGCGCCAGCCCGCCCGGCCCCGCTCACCATGGCGCGGCCCGCAGCCCAGCACGATCACCCCGCAGCAGACCCGCTGGCCCGGTTCCGCCCGCTAGCCAGCCGGGTCCGGCCCCAGCTCACCGTCCGGACGCAGGAGCCCAGCTCTGTGGCGGGCGGGGCTCCTAACCCCGCCCTGAAAGAGGGCGGGTCCCTGTTTGGCACCAATGGGCACTCGCGCTGGGACGGCGGGCGGGGTGGGCAGGGGCGGAGTCACGTGCGCTCGGGGTCGACGGGCCCCGGCGCCCAGGCGGGGCGGGGGCTGCGCGCAACTGGCACGAGCGGTGGGTGGGGGGCGGGCTCGGCCCTGGCGCGTGCCGATTGGGCGCCTGTAGATGCGGGGCCGCGACGGGCCCCCTAGCTCGGCGGGGCTCACCCCACCCCGGCAGGCCGCCCTGTACCAGCCCGAGAACAGGGGAAACTGAGGCTCACAGCAGGTAAGCATGTTGCACGCCGAGGACCCCCGGGGCCACGGCCGGGAGAGGCAGGACCACTGCGTTGAACGCCCTTGCTTGGGAAAGGAGCCTCATTCATTGTTTCGCAGTCAATCACCCATGTCCGTCCGTCCCTTCCTTACCTGGGAACCCCGACCTTGTGCCTGCAGTGCCAATAGCTTCCCAAACGACCACGAACCAGACCAACTAGGCCCCTCCCTCAGACCCCTCGCTACGCTGCGGGCTGGGGCCGCGGGGATTTTGCGGTCCCTGGACGCCTTATAATCACTGCCATTTTTAACATACTAACCCCTGGGTTAGGCCCCCGCCAAGTGACATCCCCTGCACTAGCCGCTCAGCACATTTTATCAAAACAACTCGAAAAGAATTGCCCTATTTTACAGATGAGAAACCTGAGGCTCCGAAGAGCTGAAGTACCACCACCTGCCCGCGGTGGACAGACGAGGCAAGAGTTGAGGCCAGGCGCGTCTGCCCGGCAGCAGAGTTCAGTCAGTGCACCGCTCCTCTGCCCCAGAAGATGGTCCATCCATCGGATGCTCCCCTGGGGCCAGCTAGGCTGGAAAGGTGAGGACGGTTTTATCAAGCCCTCTGTGGCCCAAGGTACTTGGGGAGACAGGAGAGGCAAGTCCATCTGGGATCTTGGCGGGAATGCCTTTCCCAGCCCCAGGCAGAAGCCTCTGGCAGGCCTAGCTCTCTCCCTCCTCGCCCTTCTCCTCCCCACTTTGGAGCATCCTCTAGCTGGGGCTCCCTTCGCTTCATCTTTCACGCTCAGCTTTAACGTACGTGCCTTGCTCAGGAGGGCTGTCACTGATTACCCGCCCAAAAGTCATCGTTTCTAGTCTCTCCTGTCCTTTGGGAAATTGTGTGTGATAAATTTCAGTGCTGTATGTCTCCCCAGGACAAAGTTTTCCCGTCCACTGCTGGATCTACAGAACCACATGTGGCACACAGTTGGTACTGAATGAATCCTACAGAACAGCGCCTGGCACCCCGCACCTCCTGAATAAATGCACGTGGGGTGAATGATCCATCTGCAGATCTCCCTGATCTGCCCATCACTGCCCTCAGAGCTCCTGCTGCCTGGGCCACACTGGGGAGTGCAGAGCGGAAGGAAACACGTTCTTCCCACAGAGCCACTTCCAGCAGCCTCTGTGGTCCCAGCCTCAGGTTGGCCAAGACCTTATTAGTGGTAAGAACCTGGGAGAGGCAGAATCTCCCCAGCCAGAGCTGGGGCTGGCAGCAGGACGGCAGGGAGACAGAGACCCATTAGAGGAACAGATCCTGGGGGGAAATGGTGAAAGGCACACAGCTCGGCATAGAAATGAGTCACACTGTTCAGGTTCAAATCCAGAGTTTCCTACTGGCTGGATTTGGAAAGCAGCCTGGTCCCTCTAGGCCTCGCTTCAGTCCTCTGAAAAATGGAGTTGGCAGCAAAGTCAACCTCACAGGGATTGAGTACTTGAGGTGCTGGGCACAGAAGAAGCAGTGCCCACCTCAGTAAGGGGGTTGGGGGTGACCAGATGTTCCCATTTGGGTCTTGGGCAAGTTACTGCACCTCTCTGAGCCTCAGGCTCCTCGTCCTCACCTTGGGTTTCATGAAACCCATCTCTGAGGATGCTGAGGTGGAGGGCTGGCCACAGCCGCTTTGCTCCAGCCATCATCTCGCCTGGAATGCTTCAGTAATAGTAAATGGCAATAAAAGTAGCGGCAGACACCTTTCCAGCACTTAGCACTTACTGGCAATTGTTGTGATCACTATAGATGGATGAGCTCATTTAACGCCCCCTCTGCTGATGGGCAGCCGAGGCACCCTGAGATGCAAGAGTGTGTCAAAATACAGACTTTGTAGGTCTGGGCCTGAGGCTCCACGTTTCTCACACCTTCCTGGGGGTGCTGGTGGTTGGGGACCACAGTGAACAGTGAGGGGCTGTCACTTGCTGAAGGCCACAAAAGCAGTGGGCACCACACCTGCAGCTAAGCCCTCAAGTTCAGCTGCAGTCGAGTGCTTAACCATGACCCCAGTGCCTGCCCCAGCCCCAGCTTTCTCTCCCCGACAAAGAGGCAGGAAGTACGGTTCCCCTCCCCCAAACCCATTTCCTCTCTCTGGGCCCCTGCCACCTCCCTCCACAGTGACAAGTGGCCCAGCGTCCCTAGGGCCCTCCCAGTCACATGGGCTGGAGGTTCTCAGATATTCATTACCCAGCAAGACATTTGAGGGTGAGGGTGAGGGTGAGGGTGAAGGTGAGCTCACCTGGCCAGCTCCCTGAGGCTTGCCCTGTGCCAGCCTGGCCCAGTGCCCACTTTCCTCAGGTGCTGGAGGGACTGGGACAAGACAGGATCTTGCTAGGGCTGGAGGTGGACAGGCCTCGGCCCAGCTCAGGTGAAGTGGCCTGCAGCTGCACCTCCTCGCCTAGCCTGAGGCCACTAGGCTGGGCATGTGTCTTGCCCCAGGGCATCCCTGTGGAGTCTCAGGCCTACAGCAAAATGAAAACTGCTTGTCCACAGGGGAGTTTCCTGAAGGGTGAGAGGGGAGGCTAGGGGGACAGAGAGAGGGTGTCTCCTAGCTCTGGGATGCACAGCAGTTTTCTTTCACAGAGAAAAAGTCACTTACTGCTAATCTGGTTTTACCATCTCCCCAGGGTTGGCTCAGCACCCTCATAACTAGGAAAGGAGATGAACTTCAGGGTCAGAATGCTGGGCAGTCGACACGACACTCAGAAGCTAGAAGGTGCTGATTTCTGTGTATTTATGTTTGAATTCCTGGGGGTGGGGTACTGGGGATGGAACCCAGAAACTCCGGCATGCTAGGCAAGCACTCCACCACTGAACTACTTCCCTTTTAAATTCTGGGGACACTGTCTCACCATGGTGTATTCTCCTCTCTGGCCTTTGCCCGATGTTCTTTATTAATGTTTTTCATCGTTGCTTGAGTTTTGAGGTGTTTTGTTTTGTTTTGAAGTGCTGGGGCTAGAACCCAGGGTCTCACACAGCTAGGCAAGTGCTCCACCCCTACCCAGGCTGGCTCCGAACTTGCAAGCCTCCTGCATCAGCTTCCCTACCCATAGTAGCTATTATGAGCATGGGCCCTGTACCTGGCTTTCAGTTGTCTTCTATTTCTGGCCCCAGATACTGCTTTTCTATTTGTGACGGTGTCATACCCATTCCTTTTAAAGTCAGTTTAGGAAAAAAAAAGCAAGTTAATTTAAAGTATGAAGGAAGTAGCTGTGGAGATGTTACTGGGAAAGGGAAGGAATGAGATGGCAGCAGGTGGATGGCTGAAGTGACAGAAGCAGTTGTCCCATCACAGCCAGACACCTGCAGTCCTCTCACTGCTGGGCCCAGCAGAACCCGCGCATAGGCCCCTGAGTCTGCTGGAAAAGCCCATCTGGGTTGTTGTGGTGGATGGGGCCCAGGTGGGTCTGGTCTTCATTCCTGGAATCTGTGGGTTGAGGTGGTGAGGGCAGACTGGGGTAGTGGTAAGGAGCAGCATGCCTCACCACACATACTCCCTGCCCCAGCTGCCAGTGCATTTCCGTATGCAGTACCCTTACTCCAAGTGGAAAGGGGGAGTCTGCTAATCTCCATCATTCGCTGGGCTGAGCTTTATTGAGCAACTGCTGTGTGCCCAGCACTGTGCTAGGTGCTAGGAGACAGCTGTGAACCAGGCAGGTGGTGCTCAGCCCTCAGGGGTTCACGTGCTCTGGGTGCAGAAACCGGCACAATATGTGGCATGGCAGGTGTGAGCTGCAGAGCAGGGCAGGCCTCTGAGGGATGAGGGCGGCAGCAGCCTGCGGTGCAGCCTGGTCCTGGTGGCAGAGGTGCTCATGGGCTGATTTTATTCTTAAGCTAATTTTTTATGAACATTACATACTCGGGATTGTGGGCAGATTGTAATCTTTACCATGGTGTATTCTCTGGCCTTTGCCTGACCCTCTTTATTAGCATTTTTCATCGTTGCTTGAATTTTGAGGTGTTTTGTTTTGCAGGGCTGGGGATAAAACCCAGGTCCTAGAGCATCTAGACAAGTGCTCCATCCCTCACCTGCACCCCCAGCTCCATAGTTATGCATCAGTTTGTATCCTGTGGCCCAAGGATCAGAGCAAAAGCTAGGACCCTGACAGTGGCTAACACCCAAACTGGAGGGTCCCCTAGTCCATCCCTGACGGGGTCCCTGCCTCCTTAAATGCCATCTTTGTCACTCCTTCCTTTGCTTTTTGTGCAGCTTTATACCCATCTCCTAAAAAAGCTTTTTGGGTTTTTTTTGGTACCAGGGATCGAACTTGGGACCTTGCGCTTTAAAAAAGCATATTTTAAGTTTTAGTTTCTTCCTACTAAGATTATTAAAAGGATGTATTTGAGGCAGGTGTGACTGCACAGACTGCACTCCCAGCACTCGGGAGCCTGAGGCAGGAGGATTAGAGTTCAAGGTCACCCTGAGCTACATAACAGAACCCTGTCTCCAAATAAAAGACTGTGTTAGTTTTCCATTTGATGCAACAAATTACCACAAATTGAGTGTTCCAAAACAACAGAAATTTATTCTCTCTCGGCTCTGTAGGCCAGAAGTCTGAAATCCAAGTGGCAGCAGAGCCGTATTTCCCCTGAAGGCCATAGGGAAGAATCTAGTCCTTGTCTGTCTCCCAGCTTCTGGGGGCTGCAGCAGTCCTTGGCCTTCCTGGGCCTGAAGCTCCATCGCTGCAGCCTCTCCCACCATCTTCATGTACACTCTCCTTGGAAGATATGTATGTCCTCCCCTGTTCCTACAAGGAGACCAGGCAGTGGAGCATGGTGGTGCACACTGTAATCCCAGTACCCTGAGAGGCTGAGGCAGGAGGATCGTAAATTCAAACCCAGCCTGGGCATCTTAGCAAGACCCTGTCTCAAAATAAAACAAAATAAAAATAATAAAGGGCTGGGGATGTAGCTCAGTGCAAAAGTCTACAATCTATTCGCCCGTATTTTCTGTGAAGAATTCTGAAGCTCCGGCTTTGCCTCTCAGTCATCATCCCCAACATTTAGTTGGAAAGACTATTTATCTCTACTTTCTACTGAAGATTTTTAATGGTTCATTTTAACACTTAAATCCTTAATCTGAAGTTGATTTTTTAAATATGGTGTGAGGTAGGGATTGGTCGTTTAATCTTAGGAGCTTTTATAGAGAGACAGGTGTATTTTGGACAGGACATTTAGGTGAGATTCCTGAGTGTAGTGGAAATTGCTTACTAGGTGTTGAGTTCTAATTCTGCACCTCCATGGCCTTCTTGTACCTCCTACCCTGCCTCTCTGTGAGACTTGGTCTCTTCCTCAGTAAAATGGGAATTATGGTAGATGATCCCCCTGGTTGCCATGAGGGTTTCATGAGGCAAAGTATACAGAATGCTGACCACACTGCCTGGCACACAGCAGGAGAATACTAGCATTTATTGAGCACTTAGTGTATACCAGGTTTGTGGCATGCACTTTATATGACTTATCAACTCATTTGACCCCCTGACAACTCCATGAAATAGATGGTATTTCCTGCATTTACAGATAAGGAAAGTGAGTCGCAAAGAGGATGCATACTTCCCTCAAGGACACACAGCTCTCGTGTGCGTGGAGTCCTCATCCTGAGGCACTGCACATCAAAGCCATACCCCTCCCCTCCCTGTTTCTGCCAGGACCCAGACCCCTGGCTCAGGGGAAGCAGGAGCAGTGGCGGCCCCTCCAGGGAGAAGGGTCTGGAAGTGAAGGTGGGGAAGCAGGAAGCAGTAGGCTCGGCCCCTAGTCCTCGGCTGGGCTTTGAGGCCTAGTGAGGAGGCGGGGCCTCCGGGAGAAAGTCCATCAGCGCCCGCCCCTCTGTGGGAAGCCGCCCAATGGAGACGAATCCCAGGTGCCCCGTAGTCATGTATTATTCACAGCCACCATCCCCACCTGGGGTGGTCAGGGGTCAGGCAGGAATGGTTCCCTAGGTCCATCTCAGGGCTTTAGCCCCTGCTGAGCCTGAGCACAGAGAGCCAGGCCCCAGGAGCCCGAGAATCCAAGCACCAGCTGCTCACTGAACACCTACGCTGTGCCCAGCAAGTGTCGCTGTGATGGGGATGCTCACATCCCCAAGTCTGTGGCCGTTATAGATCTGCCCGGCTCTGCCTCTGGCTTGGGGGGACCTCACACACATGGCGCCTGAAACCCGACAAGATTCATCCCTGTCCTTGCTTCCTTGTGTGCAGGCCCTGGAGGAGGGACAGAGGGTAGAGTGGACTCCCTGGGACCGCTCAGACCCAAGTTTGACTTGGGGAGATAGTGGCCTCTTACTGCATCACAGATGAACCCGACTCCTTTTTTCCCTTAAGTTCTTTTATCGGTACATTTTAGGTAAACAATACATTGACGTTTATCATTGGGTGCTTGTATCTGTACATGATGTATCTTGGTTCTTAGTTTTTTCCCTATTCCCTCTGCGCCCTTCACCCCCTCTACGCTTGCATTTTTTTTCTTTTCTCATAATTTTTCCTTTCTGTCCTTTCCTTTTCCCTTCCCCTCCAACCACCCCTACCCCTTTGGACCTTTTCTTCCTATTTAAAATTATCAATTATTCATTTTAATCACTTTAACCCTATTTACACTTTCAGTTTCTCACATCAGAGAAACTATTCGGTATTTACACGTGTGTCCTATTTATTTCACTTAGGAGTATGGCCTCAATATGCATCCATTTAGCTATATATGTCTCTATCATTCTTTATGGCTGAGTAGTACTCCATTTTATTTTTAAAAAACACATCTTTTTAGCCAATCTCCAGTTGATGGGCACTTGGGCTGTTTCCAAGCTTTTGCTATTACCAACTGTGCCACTATAAACATGGGTGCACATATA